CTTTGCTTTGTTGGGAGGGTTTTGATTACTGATGCAATCTCCTTACCTGTTACTCAGATTCTCTATTTTTTCTCGAATCAGTTTGGGTAGTTTGTGTGTCTCTAGAAATTTGTTCAGTTCATCTAGGCTATACAATTTGTTGCATACAACAAGTGATTTTAGCACTATTTATTGAATAATTTACCCTCCAAATATTTGTAATATCATCTTTATGATACTAAATTAGTAAATATACAAGAACCAGGTTTAGGGGTTATCTATTCTATCCATTATATGTTTACTTTTAAATCAAAGCAAAGTTTTTGAACTGAAGCAAAGACAATTTAATAATTTTAGCTTTGTAAAGTTCTTTTTGCCTGATTTTTCTCCCAGGTGAATTTTTGTGTCTTTTTTTTTTGCAAAGTAAAAATTTTCATTTTGGTTAATTGTATCATAAATTTACAAAGAATATATGCCATTTTAGTAATCAATCTTCTTGTGTCTCAGCTAACAAACTTTTTAATCTTTGCCAATTTAACATGTCGAAAAAAGTCACTCCTTTAAGTTCCATTTCGAGTTTTCATTAGAGTGGCTGAACTTCTTTTCGTATATTTTTTTAATGTTTTTTTAAATTTATTTCTAGGAGAGAGAGAGAGAGAGACAATGTGAGCAGGAGAGGGTCAGAGAGAGAGGGAGTCACAGACTGAAATAGGCTCCAGGCTCTGAGCTGGCAGTCAGTACAGAGCCCGACGCGGGGCTCGAACCCACGAACCACAAGATCATGACCTAAGTGAAAGTCCGACGATTAACCGACTAAGCCACCCAGGCGCCCCTCTTTTCATATATTTTTTAGCCATTTGAATTTCTTCTGTGAATCATTTACTCATATCTTATGTCCATTTTCTCTTATTTGTTTTATTCTTATTGATTTCTAAGAACTTTTTATGTAGAAGATTATCAATCCTTTGAAAATAATATATATTGCAAATTTCTTTTCCCAGTTACCTGGGAAAATTAAAAAATTTTTAGGTTGTACAGAAAATTCATATTTCTTTATTTTCAAGTGTGCCTATGGTTTTAGAATGGATCCTGGCCTTAGTGTCAGCCTTCCCCAAGGTTATTCTTTTCAAAAGGCTGTCATTCCTTATAATGATTTTGACTGTTTCAAAAAGCTGTCATTCCTTATAATGATTTTGACTGTTTCAAAAGGCTGTCATTCCTTATAATGATTTTGACTGTTACAGCTTTAAAAACTAATATATTTAGTCCTTAAGAACGGTGTGGGGTGGGTATCTTATTTTTTCCAAGTGATTAGCCAGTTAACTAGTATCATTTTTTAATGATCCATCTCTTCTTGCCTCCTAAAAAGGCCGTGTGTGTGTGTCTGAATCAGCACCCATTTCCAGGCCAACTGGACTGCCTGGTTTCATGAGTATAATATTCTTTTAATAATCATGGTTTTGGACTAATGCCTAATTGGGCAAGTTTCACTTGTATGGCTTTTTTTATTAAAAAGCAAAAAATTAACAACAACAACAACAACAATCTTGGGTTATTTCCATTTGAATCTTTTTTTTTTCCACATTCAATAGGTTTTATTCTTGGTAGCCATTATTAATATTCTCCAGATGAGCCTATAGTCAAGTGTTTGGGAAAATACATGTTCAACAAAATATTTTTCATTATATTACCCAATTACTGAAAGTTTCTGTTCTTTCATTCCATTTTTTTCTTAAGGAAAAATCAACACACAAATATACAATGTCAGTCTCCTTCTGTGATCTTTCCTGAAGACTTTATTCTTCAAGTATATGGTTAAGGGAGTAACCTCTACTTTTAAAAGTGCCTTTCTATTTCAGATACTGAACTTCTGAAAGGAATTATCATGAACATAAAACCTAGATGATAGAGAAGCTCTTACTCAATAAGATCTGGATAAATTAAGCCTCTCCTTGAACACACCTGCAATTTCTCATCATATTTATCTTACATATTCAACCAGAAGCAAAGAATCAATTGACAGCCAAACCAAGTGTGTGTGTCTCCATTTAAAACTTTAAATGGATTTATTAACTTTCAAAGCCTCCTGCCTACATGGGTAAGGATTTCGTTTGAAGAACAGGTGTTTTTTATCACACTTAATGTTGCATACTCATCCTTTCTTAACTCATTCCTATTAACTAAAATAATTTAGAACTTTATTAATAGGCACTTGTAGCTTTTTACTTTTGAAAAATCAGGTTGCAAAGTTTTATTACAAATTAAAAATATCTTTTAAAAATTCTCAAATTGAGGGGTACCTGGATGACTCAGTCGATTAAGCATTCAACTCTTGATTTGACCCAGGTCATGATCTCAAGGTCTGTGAGATCAAGCCCCACGTTGGGCTCTCTGCTAACATCATAGAGTCTACTTGGGATTCTCACCCTCTGCCCCTCCCACGTGCACACCCTTTCTCTCTCTCTCAAAATAAATAAATTTTAAAAAATTCTTAAGTTGATTATCTGCAAAATTTTAAAGTCTTAAGTATTTATTTCTGAGTTCATTTCTCATTACTGGGATTACATTTCAGCTTGTACTTGTTGGATGAACTAAACCAGATGAAGGAGAACGTGGTATTTACTCAGCCATTGTCTGTCCTGGGGGGACATGTTCTCAGCTAGCGAACGAGCTCTTTGTCCCTTCGCCCTCTTGCATTTTGGGATTATGTGCGTGTCTACTACAGTGATTGGGGCGCTGAGCTAGCTGCTACCCTGGTCAGATCTCTCAGGCTTTGTCCTCTCATGGCTTTGGTGAGGATGCCCTGCGATGATGTGGCTTGGCCCTCACACCTGGTCTGGCCCCCTGGCTTCTGCTGCCCTGGGCCATGGGCAGCATCAGTGGACCTGCTTTGGCAAGGAGGCTCTGTTCATGGTGAGGTGGGCACCACCACCTGTAGAGCCTTTGTCTCATGGAGAAGAGAGTCCCCACCACCCATGGGGTCTCCAGCTCTGGTGATGAGTATACTGTTAACCTGGGGAATTTCTGCCCATGGGGTCTCTACCTCTGTGGGGTAGGGCATGTCCTCCAGTGATGGCAATGACACTGTTTAGCCCAGCATTGCCCTTCACTTCTTCTTCTCCTCTAACTCTGTTCGGACAACTCAAGTATTGAGACCTGAAAGCCCACACTGAGAGTTGGGGGGAGGAAGTGGTCCTGAAGCCCCAGGAGTGGATGAGCACAGGGAGACCCTAAGGAGGGGAAGAAAGGGATGTAGGTGGGTGCGAGACAGAGGACTGTGGACTCCAGTTATTCAAGGAGGAGAGAGATGGGGAGGACCCAGGGGTCTGAGCAGGAGGGGCCAGGGGAGGGTGCTGCATGCAGGTGGAAGAGTAAGAAGGAAGACACACACAGTTGAGGTGCAGAGCCACAGACAAGCTGTCCCCTGGCATCGTTCTGCACATCACAGCACAAAGTTCCCTCTCGTTTGCTGTGCCCTGACTAGCTTTTCTTTGGTACCTCTCGTCCTGTTCCAAATAATTTCATAGACCTACTTCCTCTTTGTTTATTGCTTCATCTCAAAAACAGCATCCTTCTCCATCCTCCTTCAAATATAATTTCTACCCTGGAATTTGTAGGAATCTTTTTCTTCCTCTTCTTTATTGTCTTACCACATATGTCCCTAAACAGTAGACTGCTCGATGCACATGTTTCAACTCTGTTAATCTGCCAGGGCTGCCATAACAAAATACCACCAAGTGTGCAGCTTAAGCAGCAGAAATTCATTTTCTCGCAGTTCTGGAGGCTGGAGGTCCAAGATCAAGGTGCCGTCAGGGTTAGTTTAGGGTGAAAGCTCTCTTCCTGGCTTGTAGATGGCCCCCTTCTTCCTGTGCCCCCACATGGCTCTTCCTCTGTGTCCCTATACTCCCAGTGTCCCTTCCTCTTCTTACAAGGACCCATCGGTTTAGGGCCCCAGCCTCATGACCTCCTTTAACCTAAACTGTCTCCTTAAAGGCCCCATCTACAATACAGTCACATTGTGGGTTGAGACTTCAACATATGACTTAGGGGGAAGGGGCGCAGTTCAGTCTGAAACACTGAATAAATGCATATTCCACAGATTCATCTACAATTTGCTGTTTTTGCCCTCGACCTCAAATCCCAGCGATTCTCACAACTGTCCAGCTGCCATTACTCTGCTGGAATTTCTCACTGCACAGACTAGAACTTCCAGGAGAATATCATAGTAGTAGACTCAGTGTTGGTGTCTTGTCGTTCTTGAACCAGACTCCCTAAATGTCTGGTGCTCAGCACAAGAGAAGCCAGTGGTTTCTGTGTCTATCTTCCTCTGTCTGCGGGTGCTGCACTCTGTGATATGCTGAGCATGGCCTTCTCACTGCCTAACACTTCCATGTGTAATGCTCAGGACCCAGTGACATTCCAGGACGTGACTATAGAGTTCACCCAGAAGGAATGGGAGCACCTGGGCACCGCTCAGAGGGCACTGTACCGAGAGGTCATGCTGGAGAACTATAGGAGCCTGGCTTCCCTGGTTAAGAGTGGCCCTGGACCCACCATCTACACTGGCCAGGGGTTGGGGGGGGGGGGAGCACCGGGCAGCACCTTGGGAGGGCCAGGGGACGCAGTTGCCATCTGCTCATATTGTCTCCTTAGTTGATGGGAAGAGGAGAGATATCAAGTAATTTAAATAAGTGATTTTTTTATATTAAATAAACACAGATGTAATAGATTATGATGACAATATGCATGATTTTAAAAGACGCAACAAAGACTAGAAAGGGGTTTTGGGCTCTCAGAGGCACAGTCCACTAGCAATCCTTGAGGGCCTGTATGCACCCACTCTGCCAATATCAGTTGGTGAATGAGGAGTCTGCTGTCTCTTCTCTATCCAAACCTAAGGCCTTTGACCCATGGAGCCATATTTTGATGTTCAGAGGACACAGACCCAGGGCTTTCCTGCTGCGTATCCTCTGCATGGTAGAGGAGCAGGGTGCTGAGGCTGCCCCCGCCCACACCCTGGCATCACCTATCTTTCATGCTGCAAAGGTCTTAAGGACAGGGAAAAAGAGGCAGGGCCCTGGGCGCACACTTGTCACTGGCCCCAACACCTGTGCGTCTTATCTTCCCCAAGCAGGGTGCCAGGATTTCAAGCCTGATGTGATGTACCAGTTGGAGCAAGGCGGATTTTTGCCATGGAAGCTGTGGAGAGGCATCCCTAGGGACCCCTCCCCAGGTGAAGAGATGGGAAGGAGGCTGGAAGTTTCTAGAAGCACAGGACACAGGAGAAATCCCCAGGGGAAATCAGACCTGCCTCGAGAACAGTCCCTACGCAGAAGCTGCCTCCTGCCCCTCCGGATCCTCTCCTGCATGAGCCCTGCCCCTTCAGGGGGTTTCCTGTCCGCCTGGGCCCCTCCCCCACTGCACTGGCTTTCTTCTTCCCTGCTCTTGGGTATGCCCCCTCCCCTGTGCCACCAGGCATTCTGCCCTTGGGAGAAGCCCATCAGTGGGCAGTGATGCTGCTTTCATTCCCCTCTCTTTCCTGTCATCTGTTTGGTCACCATCACTTGCCTCTTAATCTACTATGTTAGGTAAGTCTACTAGGAATGTTCACCACCTGCCAGAATGCACATCGTGGTTTTCTGTTTCCTGCTGCATTCATTTTCCGCAAGACTTTCAATAATCACTCTCCACTTCACCCCGCTCCTCTCTTCTCACACCCCTTCACCTCTGTTGGACTCTGCACGGGTCCTTTTTGCCCATAACTTGCTTTCTCTGCGACCCCCTCGGTCAATTCAACATTGGTCATGGTTTGCCTCTGATAGCAGCAGGAGAACGGGTGCAAGAGGACCATCCTTACAGCCCTGGTGACTTGGTGTTTCAGGGAAGTTAACTGTGACAGCTTACAAGATGGACAAGTAAGGAGAAGAGGCTGAGAGATTAGTGGTGACATTTCATAATGACCCAGGCATACAGTGACTTCAGGTTATACCCTAATCTACTTTTCTTCTGCTGGTCCTTATTCCAATTATTCCCCTAATTACTGCCCCTTTGTCCATTCTCAGTCCCAGTTTTCACCCTTCAGTCATTTGAGAACAGCAGTCCTCATTCATGTCACTTACCAGCACCCCGTAACCAAGTGAGTGTCCCTGTTCACGTCTTCCTTGCTCCTGTGCACAGTGGCTCTTGGTTCACATACCATTGAAATCAATCAAAGCACCATACCTCTGTTTGGTGAATCAAAGAATAAAATAATAGTAACATATGTAGCTTTGACTAGCTCACACTTTTTGTCTCTCTAAATAGTCAAGTATCCTTTTTTATTTTTATTTTTATTTTTTTTTATTGCTTTCAGACCAAAAGACCAGATCTAGAACTGCAGAGTCAAATCTGAAGCAAGTAACTTCTGAAGAGTTTTCCCAGGGCATGATAATCAATAGAAGTAAAAGAAATGGAATCTGTTACTCCACCAGGGAAGTCCCAGGATCACATGGCTGTTTAGAGAGCCATCCAGGGCAGATGGCATTTACTCATAAGAAAATCCTGACGCAGGAGAAGATTTGTGAAGGTAATGGATTTGAATTTAGGCAGCAATCGAACTTTGTTAGTCAAACCACAATTCCTTCAGGGAAGACAATGTGTAAAGATGACAGTTATGGCAGTAGCTTTTCACATAACCTGGATCTAAGTAATCATCAGAGAATCTACACAAGGGAAAAGCCATACAAACACGATCAATGTGGGAAATACATTAGCTGTGGTTTGGGTCTCGCTCAACGCCAGGGTCATACTGGAATTAACCCATACTTTATTAGATACCAGAAATTTGGTGGTAGAGAAAAGCCCTTCAAATGCAGAAATTGTGGTAAATCTTTTAGCAGGGGGACACACCTTATACAACATGAAAGATGTCACACAGGAGAGCGACCATATGAGTGTAATGTATGTGGGAAGTCATTCAGCGGGGACTCATCCCTTATTCTACATCAGAGAACTCATACTGGAGAAAAACGCTGCGAGTGTAGTGAATGTAGAAAGGCTTTCAGCCAAAGTACATGCCTCACACAACATCAGGGGATTCATACTGGGGAGAAACCCTATGAATGTAATCAGTGTGGCAAAGCCTTTATTCAGAGCATTCAGCTTACTCTGCATCTAAGAACTCATTCTGGAGAGAAACCTTATGAATGTACAGAATGTGGTAAAACCTATAGTCATAGCTCATCCCTAATGCAACACAGGAGGATTCACACTGGAGGAAAACCCTTTGAATGTAAAGAATGTGGGAAAGCCTTTACCCAGAACATTCAGCTTACTTTACATCTGAGAACACATGCTGGAGAGAAACCCTATGAATGTACCCACTGTGGCAAAGCCTATAGTCATAGGTCATCCCTTATTCAGCATAAGAGGATCCATACTGGAGAAAAACCCTTTCAATGTAGTGAATGTGGGAAAGCTTTCCAGTGGAACACACATCTTACTCAACACCAGAGAATTCATACTGGAGAGAAACCTTATAAATGCAAAAAATGTGACAAATCTTTCAGCAGAAGTACACACCTTAATCAACATCAAAGAATCATACTGAACCCTACAAGTGTATTGAGTGTGGGAAAACCTTTGGTCAGAGTGCATATCTGACTCAGCACCAGAAGATGCATACTGGGGAAAAACCCTACCAATGTAAGGAATGTGGAAAGGCCTTCACTGTAAATGCATATCTTGCTCAACATCAAAGGATTCATAAGAGAAAGAAACCTTTATTATGTGCCAGTCACAAAGAAATTCTGAATGGAGAGAAATTCAGCAAATGTTTTTAATGTGGGAAATATTTCAGTATAAACACAGGCATTCCTCAACTTGAATGATTACACACACACACACACGATTATTTTTATTTATTTTTAATTAATTAATTAATTTAAATTCAAGTTAGTTAATATACAGGGTAGTATTGGTTTCAGGAGTAGAACCCAGTGATTCATCACTTACATAAGACACCCATTGCTCATCCCAGCAAGTACCCTCTTTAATGCCCATCCCTCATGTAGCCCCTCCTCCCCACCCACCTCCCCTCCAGCAACTCTGTTCTCTGTATTTAAGAGTCTCTAATAGTTTGCCTCCCTCTCTCTTTTTATCTTATTTTTCCTTCCCTTCCCCTGTGTCCATCTGTTTTGTTTCTTAAATTCCACATATGAGTAAAATCACAATTTTGTCTTTCACTGACTGACTTTTTTCACTTAGTATAATACACTCTGGTTCCATCCACGTTGTTGGAAATGGCAGGATTTCATTCTTTTTGATTGCCAAGTAATAATATTCCATTGTGTGTGTGTATGTAATACATATATATATATATACACACCACACCTTCTTTATCCTTTAATCAGCTGATGGATATTTGAGCTCTTTCCATAATTTGGCTATTGTTGATAGTGCTGCTGTAAACATTGGGGTGCATGTGCCCCTATGAATCAACATGAATATATTAATAAAAGACAGAAATCCTACAAATACAATTATTGAAAATATTTTACGTCTAACATGTCATGTATTCAATACTAATATGCTCATTATAAAACTAAAAACTAGGGCACCTGGTGGTTGAGTCTGTTCAGCATCTGACTCCTGATATGGGCTCAGGTCATGATCTCGTGGTTTGTGGGATTGAGTCCTGCGTCAGGCTCTGCACTGATAGCATGGAGCCTGCTTGTCTCTGCTCTCTCTCTCTCTGCTCCTCCCACTTGCTCTCTCGCTCTCTCTTAAAATAAATAAACATTAAGAAAAACTAAAAAAGCAAAAAATGTGTGAAACATTTTAATGTAATATGACCTCTTACTAAAAGTTAAAGGAGAACTACTGAGAGGGAACCTTATAAATTCTTTAAAACCACAAAGTTACAGGGCACCTGGGTGGCTTGGTCAGGTGAGCGACTGACTTTGGCTCAGGTCATGATCTAACGGTTTGTGGGTTCAAGCCTCACACTGGGCTCTGTGCTGACAGCTCAGAGCCTGGAGCCTGCTTCAGATTCTGTGTCTCCTCTCCCTCTGCCCCTCCCCCACTCATGCTCTGTCTCTCAAAAATGAATAAACGTTAAAAATATATATTTAAAACCACAAAGTCACACATGAAAGTTAAATCTTTTTATACATCATGCTGAATTTCTAGAAAAGGTGTAGAAGTAATGTCTGTTGAATCTATAAATGATGCTATGTTTGAGGAGGCCTCACATTTCAAATCTGATGTCCCATGTTATATATATGGAGCTTTAAATACCATAGATCAAGGGACAGTAAACTATGGCCCCTGGGCCAAATCCAGCCTGCAACTGTTTTTATAAATAAAATTTTATTGGAATACAGTCACATCTATTTGTTTATATATTGTCCATGGCTGCGAAGGCAAAGTTGAGTAGTTGTGACACAGGCTGTACAGCTTTTAGGGCTGCTATAAGAAAATATCACAGAGTGGCCCAAACAACCAAAACTTGTTGTCTTACAGTTTGAGAGGCTAATGTCCAAGATCAAGGTGCCAGTGGGTTTGGTTTCTTCTGAGTCTCCTCTCCTTGTCTTGGAGACGGCCATCTTCTTGCTGTGTCCTTACATGGCCTTTCCTCTGTGCACCTATCCTTGGTGTCTCTTCCTCTTCTTTTTTTTTTTTTTTTAATGTTTTATTTATTTCTAGGAGAGAGAGAGACAGCGTGAGCAGGGGAGGGTCAGAGAGAAAGGGAGTCACAGACTGAAACAGGCTCCAGGCTCTGAGCTGGCAGTCAGCACAGAGCCCGACGCGGGGCTCGAACCCACGAACCGCGAGAGCATGACCTAAGCGAAAGTCGGACGCTCAACCGACTAAGCCACCCAGGCGCCCCATCTCTTCCTCTTCTTATAAGGACACTGGTCCTTTTGGATTAGGGCCCTGTCCTTATGGCCCCATTTAACTGTAATCAACTCTCGAAAGGCCCTGTCTTTAAATATAGTCACATTGGGGTTCAGGGATTTGTTTTAATTTGTTCAGGTTGCTATAACAGATATACTGTAGACTGGGTGGCTTAAAACAACAGAAATTTATTTCTCACAGTTCTGGAGACTGGAAAGTCTCAGATGAAGCTGATGGCAGAATCAGTGTTTGGTGAGAGTCCACTTCCAGGTTCATAGATCGCCATCTTTTTGTTGCGCCCTCACATGGTGGGAAAGGTGAGGAATCTCTCTGGGGTCTCTTTTATAAGGGTACTCATCCAACTCATGAGACTTTACTTTCATGACCCATGACCCCCCCCCCTTCCTAGTACCATTATTTTTGAGGTCAGGATTTTTTTTTTTTTAAGTATTATTTTGAGAGAGAGCATGTGCAGTGGGGGAGGGGCAGAGAGAGCAAGGGGGAGAGAGAATCCCAAGCAGGCTCTGCCTGTCAGCATGGAGCCCAGTTCAGAGCTTGAACTTATGAACCGTGAGATCAGGACCTGAGCCGAAGTCAGATGCTTAACCAACTGAGCCACCCATGCCCCCAGAGGTCAGGATTTCAACATGAATTTTGTAGGACACAAGCATTCAGACCATAGCAGGTTTCAACATATTTGGAGGGAACACAATTCAGTTAATAACAAGTCTGTGAAGCCTAAAATACTATCTCCCCTTTACAGAATAAATTTCCTAAACTTGAGGGTGTAGATAATCAACTCTAATATGCCAACATTCTACACTGTATACAAATTTCTTAAAAAACGAAAACTTATAAATTACGACAACACAATAGTCATGAATTGTACCATATAGAGAACTTATTTCGTAACTGAATTATTTTGCAGAAACTAGACAAGGGATCTTTTTCCTGAAAAAAATAGAAGGCAGAAGTGTTTCTCTGAAGATAATTCTATGGCTTCTCTAACTGACAATTTTTGTAGCAAACACTGTTCAGGCAACTTCCTATTTATCCCATTGGTGAGGATGGGGATCCCCCGCCCTACATAATACAAGACAGCTAAATGCATGACACCTGACACTGGCCTGATGCCTGACGGAAGTTTACTACTCACATATATTCACAGCCACGGAAAGGAAACCACACAAACACCACACGTGGGTTGCACTCAGGATCAGAGCAAACTCCCAGAACAATGGGAGGCAGACTTTGTAGTAGCAAGAGAGTGAGATGTTTTTTTTTTGTTTGTTTTTGTTTGTTTTTGTTTGTTTTTTTTATTTCTAGGAGAGAGAGAGAGAGAGAGACAGCGTGAGCAGGGGAGGGTCAGAGAGAGAGGGAGTCACAGACTGAAACAGGCTCCAGGCTCTGAGCTGGCAGTCAGCACAGAGCCCGACGCGGGGCTCGAACCCACGAACCGTGAGATCATGACCTAAACGAAAGTCGGACGCTTAACCGACTAAGCCACCCAGGCGCCCCCCCCCAATTGTTTTAATTAAAAAATATTTTATTTCTCTGATGATTTCTTCTTTGATACATGGTTATTTATAAGTGTTATTTAATTTCCAAATATTTGGGGATATGTTAGTTATATATTTTTTGCCTTTGATATCTATTTTAATTCCATTGTGCTCTGAGAAGATACTCTGTATGATTTCAGTTATTTTGACATTATTAAACTTGTTTAACAGGACAGCAGTAGCCTATCTTGATGTATGTTCCATTATTGGGTATGGTGCTCTGTACATGTCAATTAAGTCAAGTTGATTAATAGTATTGTTTAATTCTCTGAATTCTTTTTTATTTGGCCTACCTGTTCTATCGGTTACTAACAGAATTGTTCAAATCTCCTTGAAATGTTTGCAGATGTGTCTATTTCTTCTTGTACTTGCGTAAAAGTATTTATTATTTAATGTATTATGTATTTATACATTTAAAATTTTTTATTCAATGTATTTTGAAGCTATATTTTTAGCTGTTTAAACATTTAGGATTATGTCTTCAAGAAGAACTCACTCTTTTATCATTATCAAATGTCCTTCTCAATATCTGATAATATTCCCTATCTTTAGGTCTACTTTGTCTGATATCAGTAGCCACTCCAGCTTTCTAGTGATGATTGTTTTTCACAAGATAATCTCTTTTCATCCTTTTCCTTTCTATTTCTCTGTGCCTTTATAACTAGAGGGTATCTTTTATAAAGAGCATAAAGTTGTATCTTCTTTTTCTTCAAGTATGATAATCTCTGCCTTTTACAAAGATTTTATTTTTATTTTATTTTATTTATTTTTTTTTTATATTTTTATTTATTTCTAGGAGAGAGAGAGACAGCGTGAGCAGGGGAGGGTCAGAGAGAGAGGGAGACACAGACTCTGAAATAGGCTCCAGGCTCTGAGCTGGCAGTCAGCACAGAGCCCGACGCGGGGCTCGAACCCACGAACCGCGAGATCATGACCTAAGCGAAAGTCGGACGCTCAACCGACTAAGCCACCCAGGCGCCCCAACAAAGATTTTATTTTTAAATAATCTCTACACCCATTGTGGGACTTGAACACACAACCCTGAGATTAATAAGACTTGCATGCTCCACCAGCTGAGCCAGCCAGACACTCCAGCAATTTATGCCTTTTAGAGAGTGTTTTAGTCCATTAACTTTAATTATTGGAATAGTTTGCCTCATGTCTGTTATCTTTGTTACGTCTTTGTCACTTATCTTCTTTGTTCACTCTGCTTCACCTTGTATACCTTCTTTTGGATTAATCAAGTAATTTTTAGGGCTCGGTTTTATGTCATTTGTTGGCTTTTTAAGTATACCTCTTGTATATTTCTTTTTTTTTATGTTTATTTATTTTTGAGAGAGACAGACACAGAGTATGAGCGAGGGAGGGTCAGACAGAGAGGGAAACACAGAATCCGAAGCAGGCTCCAGGCTCTGAACTGTCAGCACAGAGCCTGACGCAGGGCTT